CTTTTTTGTGTTGATCTGTAAATAAATAATTCATTACCTAAAAGATACAGAGCTCCAATGATAAATCCATAATCAGTACAGAAAATAATAAAAACTAATAATAAAATAAATACACATGAACATAAAAACCATAGACAAATATAAATAAAAAATGAAAATACATACAAAAATGAAAATAAATATCCAATTCCTAACTCAGTAGGGACGAGTTGCAACTAATTGGAAGTAATATGCATTTATTTTATTTATTTATAAAATATTTTACGCGGAAGGATATATTGAGATTTCTCTTATTTTAAAGTATGTCCTGGTAGATAAAGCAGAAGATCTGTGGAAGGGGATCTGTAGGTCTTTTTTGGATTACCGGTGTGGACAGGTGACTCTTCAATCTTCAATAGAAGTATTTTCTCCCCAGGATAATTCTCAGGACCAGGATTTTATTAAGACGCACTGTGGATCAGCTTATATACATACATATATATATATATATATGTATTTTTTTTTTGTCTCTCAGTTTGATTTACATGTTATTATGATGAACTATAAGTTATTATACTAAACCATAAGGTAACACTATACCTGCCATCTGGTCACACTCATGGTTTTTGTGTCCGTCCCTCAAAAAAGAACGGGCATATTTTAACCCCTTAAGGACCAAACTTCTGGAATAAAAGGGAATCATGACATGTCACACATGTCATGTGTCCTTAAGGGGTTAATATGCTATTAATGATTTTTCTAAGGCATGGAGACTGGGTGAATGTTGGAAAATGGAAGTTATCACTACTTATATGAGCAGGGCCAAAGTTTAATGGGAATCTATGGGAACTGCATTTCAGTTCCCACACTTCTTCAGTAGAGGAGAATTCATACATAACACTGGGCATTTTAACATTGCAGAGAGGCAAGCGAATAAATGCTCTACCTTCATATGTCTTTTCATCTTCCACATCCAACACGCAATGTAGGTAAATCTGTACTTCTCCCTCCACATAAAGCAGATGGTTGCATTGCTTTCTATTTAGAACACAGTGATTTCAGATGGAGGTCTCTATCTGTAGAATAAACAATGACGCAGATTTAGTAGGCCAAGAGTCATATTTTTATTTGTTTTTACTGGCAACAACCTCTGCTTTTTACATAATTTTGCCATCTCTGAGGTATTGAACAAATTTGCATATACACGAAAAGGTTATTTTAATGTTAATGTAAATATTGCTGGTTTATATTTCTTTACATCATCAATGCAATTATTGCAAAGGAATATACACAAAGAGGGAGAGTTTAGTCTAAGGTGCCAGAAATACAAGGACTGGTCCAGTCTATACTTTTAACCTTCTATTTAGCAATAGTAAAAAGATTTCAAGGACCACTTAAGATTGTACTATATGATACTAGAATAGCCTAGAATGCACATTTAGACACTTTAATAGGTTTGAACATAGGGGTTGACAGTTAAGAGAAAGATAATTAGGAGCTTTGCTAGGGTCAAAAAACACCAGATACCAAAAATAATCTGGAGATGCCTTATTAAAGTCGTAGCCCTTGCCCTTTCCAAAAAACTTCACCCCTATGCATGCCTCTTTACAAACTCATAGTTACTTGCTGACACATCACATGTACACACACAGGCAAGCACATAGACACAGATGGCCATCCACCGATGCACTCAGACACACACAGACAGGAGCACACACTTACTCAGACAGGTACACACAAAAAGAGAAAGACAGACACATATACATATAGGACAGTAATACCTTCAAGGTAGTGAGTTCAGGAGCTAGTTCACTATAATATGGCTTGGTAGACAATATAATAGTTGTATCCGTTTCTAGGATAACCAGTATTGACGGAAAAAAAAATATGTATGGTGTGTATACCTTTAAATCTGCTAAGGGCAGATTTTGTCTGTTACAAACCAAGATACTCTGCTTAAATATAAAGCAACTGGATAGTTACAGATTCACAACAGCAAAAATGTGATCTGCACGGGGTTTAGAATACACACAAAATATTATAATGGATATATCTTAAAATCATAAGGTAGCACACTATATGGTGCAAATAGGCAATATATAACTTGTGTCACAGAGATATAGAATTATCTTTATCTCTATATATAGAAACAAGTGAATGCAAGTAAGTTAAAAAATTCCAAAAAACCACTGAAAAATATATAAAATAAAAATGTATATTTATTAATATTAAAAAATAAATGGATGAGAAAATGTATTAAAATTAATGAGTTATAAAGTACAATTGTGCAAAAAATACAGAAATGGGGACCAGGAACGATCTACAAGTCAGTTGTCAGCATAAATATTAAACTTGTGTCCTGATAACCACTGTAACCGATGAGGATTACAGTGGATACTATGTAGCAGGATTTCAGTATCTGTACTTGCCGGCTGCTGCGAGGTTGGCGTGCGTGCCAAACCTCACTGTGATAGTCTGATACCGGCAGTCCGTCAGTCCCGCGATAACGTCTCTGAGGAAGTGGGGCTGACACCCACGAAACGCGTAAGACAAGCCGACAGTGTGAGAGGACACAGGATACGGAGAACAGCCAGCTGTCAGCAGCCAGCACAGCTCCCTTCCCCATCGATCGCGGGACTGACGGACTGCCGGTATCAGACTATCACAGTGAGGTTTGGCACGCACGCCAACCTCGCAGCAGCCGGCAAGTACAGATACTGAAATCCTGCTACATAGTATCCACTGTAATCCTCATCGGTTACAGTGGTTATCAGGACACAAGTTTAATATTTATGCTGACAACTGACTTGTAGATCGTTCCTGGTCCCCATTTCTGTATTTTTTGCACAATTGTACTTTATAACTCATTAATTTTAATACATTTTCTCATCCATTTATTTTTTAATATTAATAAATATACATTTTTATTTTATATATTTTTCAGTGGTTTTTTGGAATTTTTTAACTTACTTGCATTCACTTGTTTCTATATATAGAGATAAAGATAATTCTATATCTCTGTGACACAAGTTATATATTGCCTATTTGCACCATATAGTGTGCTACCTTATGATTTTAAGATATATCCATTATAATATTTTGTGTGTATTCTAAACCCAGTGCAGATCACATTTTTGCTGTTGTGAATCTGTAACTATCCAGTTGCTTTATATTTAAGCAGAGTATCTTGGTGTGTAACAGACAAAATCTTCCCTTAGCAGATTTAAAGGTATACACACCATACATATTTTTTTTTCCGTCAATACTGGTTATCCTAGAAACGGATACAACTATTATATTGTCTACCAAGCCATATTATAGTGAACTAGCTCCTGAACTCACTACCTTGAAGGTATTACTGTCTTTTATTCCTTTGGACAGGTTTGGGTGTATCCCTGTCCCGGTTCAGTATTGAGCTATCCACTCTGAGTCGGACTCCCTCATCCCTGTGTGTTGCACTAGGCAGACCAGATTTTACTATAACATATACATATAGGCACTGACAGGCACATAAATGCGCAAGCTGACAGATAGTACACACAGACACATAAAGGCGTAGCCTGGCGAAAACAGAAATGCACAGAATCAAGAAGGCACAGACTGCACAGACAGGCATAGACAGATGCATAAATGCACAAACTGACACAGTGAGAAACAGGCACAAACGTGCACAGACAGACAAACACAGTTACAAACAGACACAAAAAGGCTCAAACATTGTCAAATATTTTATACAATTACCTAAACAGTATACTTTGATGTAATTTATAAGATGATCACTATTTGTCTCTTGTCAAAGTACTCTTTTGCTTGCTTACACATTTTTCCTGCTTCCAACACGAGATTCAAGAACTGACTGCCGCCTAATATATTCTACCCCTTGACATGTGCCATTGTAACAATATAATCAATGTTATTCACTTGACATGACAGTGGTTTTAATGTTCTGGCTGATCATCCATGGCTTTTTAGGAGCACACTCGGGACTCTAGCATGGTAGGCCCCTACTCCCAATGACCCTGAAAATATTAATATTGTAACTCATGGAAAGAAGTGGCAAAATGAAAATGTTCCCATATTACATTTTCAGAACTTAGTCTGTGGATATGTAGGCATAAATGGCACAATAAAGTCACATGAAACCTTACAGGTATAAAGAAACAGTAAAAATTATTCATCCACAATAATAAAAGTTTCTTATGAAAACACACCTTCTTATCTTATTTAATAAAGCACATTTTTTAGTTATCTCTTATTAAATAATTGTAATAAAAGGTGCTATTTTTCATGTCAATAAGTTCCATAAATGATGATGTCATGGATTCACACAACTAGGGGTTTCCCCATGTGAAATTGTTGCTCAAGGCAACTTTCACAAATATAAGTAATAAATGTAAAATATAATAAAATGAATAATAAATCCCATGCAATTACAATTGGAAAGAATAGAATCCTGTGCAATATTTAAAAATCTGCCTATTTTTAAACAAATTATAACCTGTCTAAATGTGTCTTCTTAAAATGGTTTGGAATTTGCTATTTTGAATAATAAAGCCTGTCTGTAAACAGCAAATGCAATTTGCTGGAAATATCCCTTAATTAGAATCATCGTTTATGACATGCACTTTATTGATGGGCCACAAAGATTAAATGATGTTCCTCTGGATGATATTTTTGAGAGCTGCTAGACCCCGCCATCGTCAGAGACTGCGTCCATCTCCTAGACCAACTTAACAGTAGATATCAGATGAACCTGTGATATACGCTCATAAATTGAGAAATATTTAATTTGAGCAGCTGCATTGGCCTTATGATTTGTGGAGATAACATTGACAATCTCCTAGACCAACATAACAAGCTTTGCTCAATGTTTGAAGGACCTGACGCCCCTAGCGGCCTGCTATACGATCTGGGATGAGAGACGACCGCGGTCTGGGCCTTTCCCTCCTTTCCCCCTCCCTCTCTGGGCCAATGGGGGTAATTCCGGTCCAGGCTGGGGTTGCAAACACCGCTCCTACAAGACATACCTGGGTGAGTTGCAGAGCTCCTGCTCCAAGGCCATGCTACACAAGATGGCCGACGCACATGGACCTGCCCTACAAGGCCAGCAACACCCAACTTACTCACTTCTGAGGTGCATGGCCACACTGGATGCCGTCTTTGAGATCTTCTGGGCGAAACTGGAGTCCCGCTCGAGAATGGCGGAAATGGCTGGTCGAACAGCATGGGAGGCTGGGAGGCGGCATGGAGAGGAGCTGCAAAGGCCCCAGCTGGGTAAGGAGTTTCCTGACATAGTGGCAACTGAACACGCACGTCCACCTGGGCAGAGACACACCGGGAGCATGGCAGCAACACAACATCCCCGTGGGCGGAGAGCCGCTAGACCCCGTGGGCGGAGAGCCGCTAGACCCCGTTGACAGAGACTGCGTCCATGATGTAGCTGGAGAGCCTTGCACCTCTTTCTGCACGGGAAAAGAGGGGACGCTCTGCAACCACAGCCCTGTAGGGAAAGCAGCGGAGAATCGCTCTGGCCTAACACCTCTTCCAAAGGACTGGCAAACGATTGTATATGCCTACCGAACGATCATCTGCACAACAGCATCCCACTGAAGCTGCGCCTCCAAAACGGACTGACAAATCAGGCCTCTAGGGTGGGCATCGACTGACAGACGTGCACAGCCACGGGGACTTACATTACTCACAGTCATGAAGCGCTGCTCGAACGCACAACCCGTGGCTCATGTTAACTTACTAACTTACTAAATCTGTACAGTTCAATTACATGCCGCAGTAATATGCCTTTTGAAATGTCTGTGTCTGCTGTCATGGCATCACAAGCTTGTCTGTCATACTTATGCACAAAAAAAATAAAAAAAAATAAAAAAATAAATGTGATGCACTATTGGCAAAGCTATCCTGCATAGGCTTCAATCTACTCAGACAGATCATCATGAAGAGTGGATACAGATACAGGTTAAAGAGTTGCACTTCCATCAACTACCTCCACTATATGGAGTAAGCAGGACATCAGAATGTCGTTTGGACTAGATAAGTACTGGCAGATGGTAGCAAAAAGAGGAAAGATAATTAGGACTGAAGGAGATTAAATGCCTAATAGGCCAAATGACAGAAGGGCAAATAGGAGATGTACAGGAATGCAACAAGTGCCTGGAGATATCACAAAACACGGCAACCAGAAGGAAGAGGCAAGGAGGACAGCAACATCTAAGTACCTCCAGAGATTCAGACTGTTCCTGAATTCTTAACTTAATGACAAGAAGAACTATAAAATCAAAACATTAGTCATCAAGTATCCAGCTGGAATAATAACCTGGCCAAGAGACAGCTGAAAAAAATGTAGAAATAATGCCACGGCAAGCATGCAAAATCCACATGAGGTTCAATCGGCACAAAACAAAAAGGTAACAAACAGGGGAAAGGTCACACCAAACACGTAATGTGTTTCAGACCTACAAATCCTCAGACATAGGAGAGAATAGCTCATGAACATGATTTTTAAGAACTACTCACTATGAATGAAGGATTCCACATGAAATTCAGCACCCAGAAACTGTACATCATTTGAAAGGAAGGAGGCCAGGGCCTAATGAGTGTCAAGGCCACAGTCCTGGATGAAACACAGTATATCCATAAGTTCACCATTAAGTTAGTTCCCAAAGATGAACTGCTAATGGAATTCTTGAGACAACAATAGGTTGTAGAAAAGGAGACGGTTCCCTGGTAAGACAACCCTTTCCATGAAATTTTGTATCTGCATATAGTGGAATTGGCTCACATTATGAAATCCTACCAGTTTTTGGAAAAGGCAAAAGTGGGTTTCTACCACTTCAGATAGGTGCAGACTGTGCAAAGAGATCTGTGAGACAATCCAGCACATAGTAGCTGGGTACAAGATATTAGCAGAGACAGCATACAATGAGAGGCACAACCAAGTTAACTGGACTAATATACCAAAACATCTACATAGAATATGGACTGAACCTGCTCAGGTCCATATGGGAGGTACCACAAGTGTTGTAGAGTATGACAGGGCTAAAATCCTGTAAGACTTCCAGATCCAGACAGACCCGCACGTACTAACCAACTAACCTGAAATTGTAACAGTTGACAAGTAACTGAAGACTGCAGTGGTGGTAGATGTTGAAATACCCATTGACTATAACATCAAGCAAAAGGAACATGAGAAAGAGGACAAATTCCAAGGACTGAAAAAAGAGCTAGAAATTATGTGGGCAGTAGTAGTAGTCCCAGTTGTGATAGGAACACTTGGGGAGAGTGATTCCAGGTGGGACATCTTAGATCTCTGTCCAGAAGAGTGCAGTTCTAGGAACAGCTAAAATAATGTGCAGGATCCACAGTCTTCCAGGCCTGAGGATCTGAGAATGAGCAGTATACAAAAAAGTACCAACGAAAAAGTGAGAAAGTAATTGTTTTTGCCTTATATAGGGTAAGCAGGCTACCATTTTTTTATACAATGGTCTGATTACCATCTTATCTCTGTATTATACTAAATTGAATTTTTCTTGTATCATTTTATACACCACATGAATCAATTATGTATTAGAGATTCCAGTAAATACATATTTTAATACAGTGCACTGCACTTTTCTGCACTTGATACATTTTCTGTAAATGCTTTCATGAAGCTAGTTTTTAATCTGCATATGATGGGATCTGCCTATAGTATATATCACACCAGTGCATTTAAACTATATTTATCGCAAAAGAGGCATTTATATCACTTTGTTTCTCTTCAAAACATATGTTGCTGTCTTTTAAATGAATCGCAGAATATACCAGAAGCCAGTGCCATGTAATGAATTTACTGAATTATTTAATTCAAATCACATGCGTTGTTCAAAAAGCAAAATCCCCGAATGTGCAATTTTTTTAAACTTGTCTTTTCATCAGAATCAAATTACATATTCAGTAAAATACACTATGCTAAATGTATACACAGCAGTGTACTAATACAAGATAAATATAAACATGTCATAAGAAGATATGTGTTTTTCATGAGTTTTTTTTTCATAAAGTCAAAGCAAGGCAATAAAAATACAATAAACAAGTTCAGATCAAAACATAATGTATTGTTCCTTATTCTCTATAGAATATCACAGAACATGTCAAAGAGGCCATAGAATAATAAAACATTGAGACATAAAACTACTGTAAGTAAATTTAAACAAAAGCATGTTTTAAATATGAGCAAAATAAAATAGAATATGAGCTAAACAGGTGTGAAAGCAAATTAAATGTAAATTAAATAATAAAACATACATATAACTGTATGTCTATTTTTGCCTGCACTTTGGGGGCGGGGAGGTAAATTTGGTGCATCATTATGGAAGAGTTGGGGATAAAGGCTCTTCTTGGTTTGGTGGGTGTCTGTGGAGCCTTGAATCTCTTTGTGCACCTGCTGCCATTTTGCATTCCCTACTTCATATCCTCATTGAGTCTACTCTGAGAGTAGAGTAGAGCAGCTTAGATAGATAAATGGAGAATATGAATCTCATTCACTGGGCTGCTTCTGCTCTTGGACCAGACTCAATGACGAGACAGTGTGCATGTGTTTGTGTGTGTCTATCTGTGTGTACATTCTTATGTGTGTATCTATGTCTTTATGTAGGCATCTGTGAATGTATGGGTCTTCATGTGTGTATTTGTGTGCTTGTAAATTTCTAACTGTGTATGTCTTTATGTATGTAATTATGAATGTGTCAAAAGATGTTTTTTGCACTTGTTAAACAGTTTGGTTTTGGGAGTGGTACCTTTTGGGTGGGGTCAACAAAGTTTGTTTGGAGTTCAAGCTTTGGGTATTTCTTGAACCTAGAAAAGTAGGTCAATGGACTATGGTGAAGAGAGACACTCTAAGCACCAAAATAATTTTATAATAATAAATAATAATTACTAAGAATTGTCACTGTTTCTATTATACAATTCCCACCTTTAGAGGACCCTTTCAGTTGGACTAACTTAGATTCGATCTTTAATATATTTTATTTCTGGCATCAGCATGTAATGTAAGCATTTAATCAGCTTGATGATCTCACAGTAGGAGGGTTGGTCTGCAGTGAGGAGTCCATCCTGGCGCTGTATAACTGCATAATTTAACTGCATTTTAAAGACTATTTTTGTTTAGAAAAGTAATCTAGTATATTTTATGAACAAATATAACTTCATAAAAGTGCATATATGTTTTATTTGAATATACTTATTGGACAAGATTAAAACAACAAACTAGTTTATGAAGATCTCACATCAAAGTGGAATGTTTTACACTTTTAAAAGTAGCAACTACATAACACTGCTAAGGTAAATTAAGCAGGTCATTCCATACTGGTATAGCGTCTTTAGGGACCAGACTCTGATGCCAGCTTTAAATGTCATTGGTTCTTTCAGGGTTAAAGCAGCTCTTTGTAACCAACAAAATGTACTGTAAATATGTTAATGTTAGGTTAACACAAAATGGTAATTAAAATTATGACCGCATGAGAATCAATGATGAAGTACAAAACTATAGAGCATGCTTATGAATATCAACCATAAATCACAAGATTAGTGTCACCCATTCAAGGATTCCTATGACTGCTACTTCAAATGTTATATCAAAATAAGAATTATCCCATGTAATACTATAATACTAGTGCGTAGTCTTGCACATCTATATTTGTCTAAATTGGAATTCATCAAAATATACAGATCAGTAGGTTGCCCAAATTCTGAATATCTGAACCACCATATGAATGTATACAGGAAAAATGCAAACTTATGTATGATGGCATAGGTTAGTATCATACCAACAAAAGTCTTCAATCTGCACTTCCAAAAATGAAATAGAGCTGATGTTTGGTGTTAATGTTACTATTAGAGTTGAATTGTCTTCCATTTCATCAACCGACTTCTCAAAGCAATTAGCAGAGCTAGATGTTTACTTATTTTTGGAGATGATAGATTCTGTTTTGTAGTTTGATAAAACAATATTCGATTTTGAGATACAATGCCTTCATAACAGTGACTGGACATTGTAAACAGTCCAAATAGAAGTATAGGTTAAGTCACTGAAACAGCAGCAATGCTAGGTAACAACAACTGGGCCCATACTGTTTTTACAAGATACTTAGAGCCAGCAGAACTTTTCAACGAAGCTCACTCTATCAAGAGGTATTTCCAAGAGGTGCCCTGAAATATGTCTTTGTTAACAATTTTCTGTCAATGTGTTCAAAGTATTGTGATCAAGCATCAAGTACCAAAGGGTTATAGTTAGACAGTAATCATCCTATTTACTTTAC